TTCTTGGGGAGGATGGCCTGCTCCATTTGCCGGCACAGGCTGAGCACCTTGCCCAGCGACGTCACCGGCTCCCACCTGCCCATTCGTTGGTAAAGAGTTGGAACCATCACCCCTTTCGAATCCTCGAGGTAGCGTAGCATGCTCGAATAGCGCGTGATACTCTCCTGTCGGCGTGCCAAAGGTTAAGCCGCCTTTGACGACACCTTTGAAGGATAAGGGCAGTACATGCACCAGATGCTTCGAGTCTTCCGCAGACGACGCATCTTCACTGGACGCTGCAGACGGGGTTGGTCTGGATGCTGGGTTGCCTGGAAATGCATCCAATTCATCTTCGAGCGCTCCTAGTTGGGATTCGACGATGCGTCTGCGTGCCTGCACAACTTCGGGCAAATCGTCCGCGGTACCTCTGCTGGCGCTAGCGTCCGCCGAGGCTGAAGGGGTCGATTCGACTGTCGATGGGCTGGCCAGTCGACCAGACTGCTGCTGATCTGCAACATTGGCAGCCGTGAGCTGTGCATTGCCGAATCCATTGGAGGTCTCTTGATGCTCAGCTGCAGATCTTGATTCTGTCGGGCCTCGCCAAAGCTGCCCTCTCCACAAATGCCCAACTCTGGGCTTCTTGGCGATGCGCAGCCCGACTCGCCATTCTCCGCTACCAAACAGGCTTGGCAAGACGTGCGTGTCGATTTCATTTCTCCAGTACGAAGACAGGGTGCGAAGGACGAGCAGCAGTGTGGATGGATCGGCATGAGAAAAGATGCGCGAGATCAGCTCGGGAGGAAGTGCGGACGATTGAACGGTCGTAGACTTCGTCGTTGGGCAAGCCAAGCTTTGATCAGCAGTGTCAGCAGTGGTCGAGTGGATTTCTGAGGACATGTTGACCATTGCTGCTTGCCCTTACGAACAAGGAACACGTCGTGATCGGTGCTCCCTTTTGAGCGGTGGCATTCGTGCCAAGCAGAAAAGGATATGCAAGAGGCGAGGAGGGGGGCTTCTAGACGGACTTCTATGTGTGAGATGATGACGGTGGTCATGAATGTAGGTTGCAGGCAGCTTACTGCGGCGTGATTCACGATTCGGCTTGAAAGTCATGGTGCGATCACGCTTTGAAATTTGATGTTCATGCGACGGTGCCTCCTGTGCTCCACACGAGCATGCGGCGCGAAAAACAGACGACGCAGGCGCGGCATCCTTCAGATACTCATCCGACTCATAGACTCATGGCTGATCAAGACTCACGACTGAAATCACGTGAATCACAATTCTCGATTGTCACATGTACGTGCAACTCGCGACCGCGCGCGCGAGGCAACGCCAGGCTCTTCAGCACTCAGACTCACGACTCAGACGTGACTCACGACTCTCCACTCAGACTCTTGACTCATGCAAGTCACTCAGCCATGGTCAGCGCCCCAATCTTGACATGCGGAGCCCCGCAAAGGTACGCATGCGTCCCTGCATGCAGCGCGACGGCGCAAAGCGCAAAGCGCATCCAGCAAGCGCGAGACTAGGAGAATCACGAGTCACGAGTCACGAGTCACGAGTCACGGGTGCTGGCTGTGTGCGAGTCAAGAGTCTTGAGTGGGGCTCGAGCCGAGTACCGTACCTTTGTATCACGTGTTATACCTCTTGAGCTGGTGGTGCAGGCCAGCTTGACGGCTGTGGTGGTGGGACGCAGGCGGGTTATACAAATTGGCTGTGCTTGCTTGCGTGTGCGCAGGCCAGACGCCGGCTGAGCTTCCGGGATAGCCGGGCCAACGTGCCGGTGCCGCAAAACTCATTTGTGGGTGCTTCATGGTCGCCCATTCTGCTCAATCACGCTGCGATTCATAGTCATTTCCATCATCTCCTGCGCATCTCTTATCCACTGTATCATCAGCCCCTGGCCCCAGGTAACAAGGATCACCCGCTCGCTTCGGCTCTGACTTGCCGGCGCTGGGCTGGCCTGCACCTCCATATCGCTTCGCCTCATATAAGAAGCCAGATCACTCGATCCAAACCAGCACTCGCAGCTCACTCGTTCACGAGCACTTGATTGGGCACATTGCGCTTTTTCAAGACCTCGAAAGCTGGCTGACTTACAGCCAAGCGCACCCGTCGTCATGTCGGTCCTCCACAACCCTCATCCTCCCCTTCAGTCGCTGTCGGCCGAAGCCATTCGCTCCTTCCCTTACTCCACGTACGGTTGGAGGCACATTCGCGTAGTTCTGGGAGGAGATGAAGCCAATAAGAGCTCTCAGAGCAGTGCTCCGCCAAGCGATGGCGTCTTGCTCGTCTTGCTCAATAGGCCAGACAGGGCAAACGCCTACACAACACAAATGTGCCACGATCTCGTCTTTGTCTTTGAATTGGCCGATCGCGATCCTCGCGTCAAGGTGCGTCCATGTGCTGAGAGACTCGGGCAATACGTAGCGAATAAGGTGTTGGGGGGGG